CAAGGAGAAAAGCAACTTAGAACTGAGGAGAAATTTTCTGACAGAACAATTAATCAGCGGAACAGCTTGCCCCCAGAAGTTGTGAATGCTCCAACATTGAAAGTTTTTATAAGAAGGGATTGGGCAACCATTTGTCTGAAATGGTATAAGGTTTCTTGCCTGAGCAGGGGGTTGGACTAGAAGACCTCCAAAGTGCCTTCCAAGAGTTGGAAGTGACCTTGGTTATTCTCTTATGACTCCTTCCAGCCATAAGACCCTGTGATTTAAGCCTTTGGTCCAAGATGCTTACATCTCAATTCAGTGTAGATTTCCTCACTTAATTTATGGCAGACTTAATCTCTTTGGATCAATTGTTCGGTAAATAAACAACTTGATAAAAAATAAACAAAGCAAGCAGCAGAACACACACACACACACACACACACACACACACGTAATTCCTCTGCGGCAGCTCTCTCTACGAAAAGGCCTAAAATTTAGTTTTCTGTTTAAAATTTCACGGAGAGGCATTCTCTCTCTCGGCCGCCTCTCCCAGTTTGACCTTTTCTCTTTTCAAACCCGATTGTTCCTCCTCCAGCCTTCACCCCCTTAATCCCTCCTGCCAGCTTGTATTAGTGACGCAGATGATCTAAAACGGGACAGGGAGAACCTGGCACCAGCTCGTTTGTGTGTTCGTGTGTGTTTGTGTTGTGCAGATGCCACGGCTTCGTGGAAGGGGAGAAGAGGACAGTTGTAAATCTGATGGTGGAAAGAGAAGCCAAAAGGGTGGCGATGTTGAAAACCTCCCAGAGCAGAGGGAGGAGAGCACAGCTGCTGCACACTGCTTCCCCCCCCCCCCCCCGCGCGGTCTCTGGGGAGTGTGGCTTTTTTTTTTTTAAGTTGGCAGACGGCGAGAAACAACAGCTCTTTCATTCGTCGCCGGCTGCAAAGTGGCAACTTGGGGAGCAGGGAAGGGTGGGGTGGGGTGGGGGCCCCTAAATAATCCATTTTCCACCCTTCTGCTCTTTGAGTTTCGTACCCAGCCATTTTGCACATTGTTACAGTTGCAAAGGGTGTAGGCTGGTGGGGGGAAAAATCCTTTAGGGTGGGAGAGAGAAAGAAAAAAGGATAGGAAGAAAGGAGAAAAGAAAGAAGGGAAGAAAAGAAACAAAGAAAGGAAAGGAAAGGGAAAGGAAGGAAACTGGAAATAAAGGAAAAGGAAGGAAAGAATGGTAGGAAGGGAGGGAGGAAGAAAAAGGAAAGGAAGGAAGGAAAGGAGGAAAAAGAAGGGAAGGAAGAAAACAGGAAATAAAGAAAGGAAGGAAGAGAAGAGAAGGAAGGGAAGAAAAGAAAGAGGAAGGAAAGAAATGAAGGGGAAGGAAGAAAGGAAAGGAGGAAAGAAGGGAAGGAAGGAAACAGGAAATAAAGACAAAGGAAGGAAGAAAGAAGGGAAGGAAGGGAAGAAAAGAAAGAGGGAAAGAAAGAAATGAAGGAGGAAGGAAGGAAAGAAGGAAAGGAAAGAAGGGAAGGAAGGAAACAGGAAATAAAGACGAAGGAAGAAAGAGAAGGGAAGGAAAGGAAGAAAAGAAAGAGGAAGGAAAGAAAGAAATGAAGGGGGAAAGAAGGAAGGAAAGGAGGAAAGAAGGGAAGGAAGGAAATAGGAAATAAAAAGAAAGTAAAGAGAATGGAAGGGAGGGAGGGAAGGGAAGAAAAGAGGAAAGAAAGAAAAAGAAAGAAATCAGCTGCTCATAGAACAGGTGAAGAACCCCTCCCCTCCCTCCCCCTTTTTCTGAATAAATCACTGAGATTACTGCTGCTGTTATTGTGCAAGGCTGGGGGAAGCGCAGAGACTTGCCCAATGCATGTCTGCTCCCCCAAACTCTTCTGAATACAGTTTCACAGGTGGAATTTTGCCATTCCGAGTCAAAAGGCCCAATTTGTTCTACAGATTGCAAGAAGCTAAAGGGATTAGGAAGGGAGGCGGGGTGGGGGAGAGGAATTGTGGAGGCAGGGGATGGGAAGAAAAGAGGGGCATGAAAATTGCAAGGAGAGAAATCAGGAGAGGCTGGGGATGGTTTAACTAACTCCCCCTTCTCTGCTAGTGTTTGAAGTGCTAGGAAACTGTTTTTGTGAAAGAGAAATATTCAGCTGCATACTTTTAAGTAGACCAGCTTGAGTTTTTTAAATTACCAGTTGGAAAAAAAAAAGGCCTTTTCTTCATTGGGTATAGAATTGAATAAAGAAACAGCCTATTTGTCTTTGCATATGAAAAACTCATGTTTTGTAGAATTGTTTTCTAAAGTTCCAGATGTTAAATGAGATTGGAGCTTGGGTTGGCTTCAACGTTATCTTGTAAATACCTCCATAAACATTATCTCCAGAGCCTGTTGTACTTTGCTCATGTTTCATACAAGATCATAGAGCGTAATAGCTGATACCCCCCCTCCCCATGGAATATGACTCCCGCCCGCCTCCCAGGGAGAATTGAAGAGCAGTTGGAAGAAGCCAAGTTTGAGAAGCATTGTGTGCTTGGTGTCAAAAATCATTGCACATTGTATTTGTTGAAAGAAGCAAAGTTTTGCATGCAACATACCTGCTTGGAATATTTGCTTTGCCTTGACGTTATAACTGTAACTATAGCCTTTCCCTTGTTATTTTTTTTTCCTTTGAAAGATAATTGAGAAGCGACTTGGACACATCCGAAATCGGGTATTTCGAGAAGTGGAAATGCTGTACCAGTGCCAAGGACACAGGTACTGGGCAGAGGCGAGCCAGTTTTAAGCCTGATCTTTGCTCTATCTAGATCAGTGTTTCTCAACCTTGGCAACTTGAAGATGTCCGGACTTCAACTCCCAGAATTCCCCAGTCAGTGAATGCTGGGAGTTGAAGTCCAGACATCTTCAAGTTGCTAAGGTTGAGAAACACTGATCTAGATTCTATCCTGGTTGTGTTAATGCTGATTGCAGTAACTGGTGGTCCTCAACTTACGACCAAAATGGAGCCCCAAATTTCTGTTGCTAAGTGAGACATTTGTTAAGTAGAGGTTGTTCCATTTTACGACCTTCCTTGCCATAGCTGTTAAGGGAATCACTGCAGTTATTAAATTAGTAACACGGCTGTTAAGTGAATCGGGCTTCCCCAATGACTTTGCTTGTCAGACGGTCGCAAAAGAGGATCACATGACACCACCACCCCAAAGACACAGCAGCCGTCGTAAATATGAGTCAGTTGCCAAGTGGCTGAATTTTGATCACGTCACCGTGAGGGTGACGTGAAAAACAGCCATAGGTCACTTTTCTTCAGTGCTGTCTTAACTTAGAACCGTCACTAAACGAAGTGTTGTAAGTCGAGGACTACCTGTAAATCGGGGACAAGTAATCCTCGACTTGTGACCACAGTGGAGCCCAACATTTCTGTTGCTAAGCAACACAGTTGCTAAGCAAGCTGTACCCCGTTTTATGACCTTTTATTACCACAGCTGTAAGCAAATCACTGTGGTTGTTAAGTGAATCCTGCAGTTGTTAAGTGAATCTGGCTTTTCCCATTGATTTGCTTGTCGGAAGCTGGCTGGGCAGGTTACAATTGGCGATTACATTGAGAAGCGCAGCTGCCATAAATAAATGCTAATTCGTAATTCGTAATTTAATAAGTTTATATGCCGCCTAATCCCGTAGGACTCCGGGCGGCTTACAAATACAAGATAAAATAAAATAACAAATAGGGGGAAAATGAGAACAGTTTAAAAGGAACACACCATACATTCGACTTAGCTGGGGGCTGGACCTCATTCATGGATCAACAGCCCCAGGCCTGCCGGAATAGCCAGGTTTTAGTGGCTTTTTGAAAGGCCGCAAGAGTGGGAAGGGTCCGGATCTCTGCGGGTAGATCGTTCCACAGGCCTGGAGCAGCTACAGAAAAGGCTCTCCCCCGAGGGGCCGCCAGCCAGCATTGTCCGGTTGACAGCACCCGGCATCCATTCCACACTCCTCTCCACTTCTCCTCTCCGCCATTCCCCTCTCCTCTTCCCTCTCTTCTCCTCCGTTCCCCTATCCTCCATTCCCTTCTCCTCCATTCTCCTCTCCCCTCCTCCCCTCTCCTCCATTCCCCCTCCCTTCCCCTCTTTTCCTGCCTTGTATACAGATAGGAATTAGGATTTGGGGGATGTAATGTGACCAAATAAGAGCATTTCTATAGATGAAGTGATCTTGCTGAGCATAAAGATGGCTATGCTCTTTGAT